CGCAGGGGCTTTATTTCTTGTTTCTTCTCGAAATCCTAATATTGTAAGCACGATTACTTTTATTTAAAGTTCTTAAATTCACATCACGATCTTACAAAAAATATTATTAATTATAATTTAGTTTCTTCCCAAATACTTGAACTGCTGGCAGTTTAAAAATACGTCCCCACCGAGAGTATGAACGCGATCAATTTCAACTTCGCCGCCTATCTGGGCAGAAACTTAATCGAAATATGCACAGCTGCATATTTCGGTCATCGGCCCTATTGAAGGACAATGGCGCCGTAAAGGGTATCCACTTGGAACTCTCCCATTCTCTCGTAAAGCGAATCGCCGTTCGGTGTTGCCGTCCTTTCACCATTTGGGAGCTGATATGTGCTCTAGCGCCATATTTGTACACACTATCGACTCTTAGTACTTATGGTTAATCCATGACATTCAAGTTTCATATGCGAAAGAAAAGACTATCTTCGGTACGCTGAATATCTGATACCCTTGCAGACCCAATCTTTTCATATTGCTTATAGTGCTTTGTTGTGTCTAAGAAGCACAGAGAAAATAGTTAATGCCGAGTTTAGTCAAGATATCTTTATAGCCAAATAAGGTTTTTAGTCAAAAAACTAGTTTTCGACCGATCGTTCGTATGGCAGATATAGTAGTCCGATGTAAATAAGATTTGACAAACGTGAAGAGAGCACAGTGAAATCTTTAAATGCCATGTTTAATCAAAATATCTTGAATGACAGAAAGTTATCCACACAACAACTTAATATTCGACCGGCTGTTGATACTGATCAAGAATATATATACTTTATGGGGTCGGAGATGTCTCTGCAAGGGTATAAAAAAAGATATGAACATAAATTTTTAAGGCATACAAAGCGATTAAGTAATTTTATCACACATCGCTTCATAAAATGGTCCACGGAAATTGATTTTACCTTTATATCTGCCTAGTGTATATATTCTGGAAAGAAGTTGTGTCGAAGCCAAAGGCATGTAAGCAACTATGTTTTGATGTGTTAATTCATTTATTCCAAATAAATTCATTTTAAATTTTCCAATTTGTATTTGTAGATCAGTATTTTTAAGTCGATGCTAATCTCTGTATATAAAAATATTTATCTTGACTGACTAACATATTGACCGACTGGTTCCTAATCAACTCATTGCCCAAACCGTAAAAGCTAGGAAGCTGAAATTTGCACGCTAAGACAGGATTTCGGAAAATTCCACCCGCAGGTATGGAAAAATCTCGATAAGGTTTGTATGAAACTTTTTTGTTTACCATCCGATGGGCTTTAACTGAATTTCAAAGATCTTTGTTTAAATTAATTTGAGGAGTATTTTACACTTTTCCAAAAATGTATTGCTCCTTGGTGGAAGTGGGGGTCAAAGATATGGTAGATGATATTCGCGCTCAAGTTCATTTTCAAGGATCTATATGAAAAATCATTTTATACGTGTTTCACATTTTTCGTAAAATCTAAGCTCCTTCAGGGGAAAGTGCATTTCAAAGATTTGTAAGTTTGGTCCGATTTGAATCAGACTTATTTTCAAAGGGAAATTCCACTCGCAACAATGGTAAATTGCGATAACGTTTGTAGGAAAGATATTTCACCATTTGGGAGCTGATATGTGCTCTAGCGCCATATTTGTACACACTATCGACTCTTAGTACTTATGGTTAATCCATGATATTCAAGTTTCATATGCGAAAGAAAAAAATCTCGATAAAGTTTGTATGAAACTTTTTTGTTTACCATCCGATCGGCTTTAGCTGAATTTCAAAGATCTTTGTTTAAATTAATTTGAGGAGTATTTTACACTTTTCCAAAAATGTATTGCTCCTTGGTGGAAGTGGGGGTCAAAGATATGGTAGATGATATTCGCGCTCAAATTCATTTTCAAGGATCTATATGAAAAATCATTTGATACGTGTTTCACATTTTTCGTAAAATCTACGCTCCTTCAGGGGAAAGTGCATTTCAAAGATTTGTAAGTTTGGTTCGATTTGAATCAGACTTATTTTCAAAGGGAAATTCCACTCGCAACAGTGGTAAATTGCGAAAACGTTTGTAGCAACGATATTTGTTTACCGTGCGATCGGTTTCAAAATCATGTTTAAAGCTTTTTGAGAACATTGATTTTATAACATACGTTCCACGGGCAAGACCGTATATATATCAATTCTATATTTCTCCCTGCACTATTCGGTGACGAGCAGGTAACTCCAAGCAGTATGCTCCTAAACGTAACATAAATAGTACGAAGTGCCTATTTGTATCGAAGTACGAGCTCAGATTGTAATACTTTTCAGCGATGGAGATAGTTTTCTTCCCCTAAAACCATCTGTTTGACAAGACATCTTAGAATAAAGTTAAATATATTATGGATAAAAAAATTCACTGACGTTTGTGAGGCTTTTATGTTGGCGTTCTAGTCTTTCACTGAAAGTTTCAAAAAGCGAGAGCACTGCAAATGCAGTATATTTTGAGTTGGAGACTCTGAAGCTCGGTAGAGTCTCAAAACACTGATCTCGCCCCAGAGCTTAACTAGCAGAATCTGCTTCGCTGGGGAGGCTCTGCCTTTTATATTTTGTTGTCCGATGCTATGAATTATATTGACTGACCTCTATACATATCATTTAGTATTTTATTTTATTTTACATTGTCGGTTCGATTATGGCGACATTAGGTTGGAAAATATTCGGTGGAAAATGTATTATATTTTTACCTGCATTTTCAATTATCGCTTTAAATCTAAAAAATATCGCTTCAATTGATCGCCAGGTCGCAAATATGATTTATTGAAATATGAACAATTTAATTACTGTTTCAAAAAAAAATCCTGTACATATGCTAATGCACTGTAGTTACGTGATGTGCTGTAATTAGGAGAAAACCGCGGATATCAATTGTATTACCTTCTTGCTTTTTTTTTAAATATATTTTTTGAACTGGGTTTGTGCTGGAGAAGAAATGGCGCGTGGAGGAGTTGCGGGTCTCAAGATGCCAAAACGTTAGAGCCATCATCCTGGAGAGTCCTACCTGACGTTGGCGGACGGCCACGTTTTAAATCAGAGCCCGACCTGAGGAGCTCTCAACTGGCAAGCTCACGACATTCGAAGGGATAGAGTCCGCCCAACAACAACGATCGATCCCGAGATAGGACGGACCCTTGCTGATTCGGGTGGTGTCCCCTATGCTCCGCCGCATTCGGCCGCATCCGCAGTCGGTGGCTAGGCCACTTGCAAAAATTCCGGAGCAAGTTTAGAAGTGGGGCATGAGGTATGATGGGCGATTCGACCTTCTTGGATTCCTAGATGACCTCGAGGAGCGAGTCATCGTTGGTTTTTGAGTAGTGGGCTAGTGGGCCAGCCATGTGCCATGGTCGGTGCTTAGGAGGGTTTTTTTTTTGGAGTTTTTCCTGCCACCTCGCTATTTTAAAAGGCCTGAGGACGAAAACTGATATCCGGATGAAGTGGACATCATTTGCAGCGCGTGGGGAAGGAATTCAGGGAATATCTGATAGAGCTGAGGGCGCTAATACATCGCGCCAGATATGAGCCGGCGCAAGAGTTTCACCGGATATACGAGAGAGCCGCCCTGAACACACGCTCAACTTGCAACGGCAAAATTTCTCCATCTTGCCCCAGCTGACGCAGATGGAGTACGAGACGATCATAGGGCAGTTTGCGGAACAGTCGGGAACAAAGTCAGTGAATCAGGTGTCCTTTAGTCTGGTAAGTGCGGAATGGGGGAGGATAGTTCAAACGAAGGGGCGACACCTCCCAACATTCCGGTCTACTTCCAGCAAATCCGTAGCGAGCGCTGTGGACAGAAGGGTCCCCGTCCCGCAACGGAATCCCAGACCAGGTTCGGGTCGACGCCGACACACATGCGACCAGGTAATAGGGCACCCACTGAAGGTGGACTGTGGCCGAATCATCGCTACGGTAGAGACTGACGGGCAAACGATGCCTGCAACAATCCACACCGGAGCCACTCGCAGCTTCATGAACGGCGAAGAGTGCGTGACGTGCATTTGCGCGTTCGTCTGATGGGTCCACGCAGAAAGTAGGAAATGCATAGTGGTTAAATGTTGGCGTAGCGTGGAAGGTGATCAGCATGTCGATGCTGATTATGTCCTCTACGCCACAATCGGCTGTGGTAAGGCAGAACTGGTCCTAGAGACGGTGGTGGACCGGCCGTGGGGCATGTAATGAGTGAAGAACCGAAGAAGGCCTCCCATGTTAGCACAAGAATAAAGAGAGCACCTGCTCTGCAACAGAATGGAGATGACACGAAAAAAAACCGAAGGAAGGCCTCGCAAGTCAGCACCCGCTAGGCAACAGAATAGAGAAGACACGAAGGATTATCCGAAGGAAGGCCTCCCATGTCCAGAAAAAGGAAGCACGTGCTCGGCAACAGAATAGAGGAGACACGAAGAAGGAACCGAAAAAAGGCTTCCCTGTCAGGAAGAGGGAGCACCTGCTCGGCAACCGGATGAAGTGGACACACATTGGACAAGGTAATAGGGCAGGAAATGAAGCCTTATGCATTCGCCTACCTAGACGATTTCTTGGTGATAAGGACGACGGAAGTGCAACACATTGCGGAATTTGAGGGAAGTATTCCACTGGTCAACCTAAATAGGAGGTAGTGCAGCTTCTTCGAGAAGAAACTGGTCTATCTGGGATATTTAATTTGCAGGGAAATTTCGCGACTCGGAAAAAATGATCATGGGATGAAGAATCAATTGAAGGATACCTTGACGACTGTCCCTGTGCTCTTCCGCCCAAACTTTTCGGCAAATTCGTCTTGCAGACCGACGTGAACGAGTATAGCCTCGGCGCAGTGCTGACTCAGACGATATAGAGACACGAGTAGGTGATAGCGTACGCGAGTCGGAAGTTACTGAAAGCTCAGGTAAACGTTTCCACCACCGGGAAAGCGTGCCTGGCTATTGTGTGGTCGAACTGGAAGTTGTGTTCCTACCTGGAGGCGTGCTGGTTCGACGTGATAACGAATCATCTGGCTGAGAGCCCTTCGGGAAGGAACTGCAATAGTTTCAGTTTGATGTCCGACTACCGACGAGGAAAACTCCACGTCGTGACTGATGCACTATCAAGGCTTCCTCTGGCAATGACGGCCGAGTCCTCCTGCAAATGGGTCGCTAGAATATGTGCAGGATCGCCAAAGAGCAGATGTATAGGCATTTGATGGACGGACGACGAGGACTATATTCCTTGGAAGCTATGTGTGGTCAGTGGTCAACAGCAGAGGGTATTGCAGGTATGTCATGACGCTCCCAAATTTGCAACCAAATTCGATGGCTCCAATCGGGTTGTGTCGCCTAACATTGTGTATCTCGTGAAGCCAGGCGAACGGAAGAAGAGGGTGGCCAATGTCGCGCAGCTAAAGCATTGCTACCAAGAAATGACTGATGACGATGGAGAAAAACCAGGACCCATGACGCCCAACGGGTAAACGAAGAGTTAGATAAACATCCATCGCCGAAGCGGGAATCCAGGACGGAGGAGCCGCAAAATTATAATTATAATTATAATAATAATGATAATAATAATAATAATAATAATAATAATAATAATAATAATAATAATAATAAAATAATAATAATAATAATAATAATAATAATAATAATAATAATAATAATAATAATAATAATAATAATAATAATAATAATAATAATAATAATAATAATAATAATAATAATAATAATAATAATAATAATAATAATAATAATAATAATAATAATAATAATAATAATAATATAATATAATATAATAATAATAATAATAATAATACTATCATAATATCTAATAATAATCCTAATCCTAATCCTATCCTCATCCTAACCTCCTCCTCCTCATCCTCTCATCCTCCTCCTACTCCTCCTCCTCCTCCTACCTCCTACTCCTCCGCCTCCTCCTCCTCCTCCTCTCCTCCTACTCCTCCTCCTCCTCCTCCTCCTCCTCCTACTCCTCCTCTCCTCCTCCTCCTCTCCTCCTCATCCTCCTCTCCTCCTCCTCCTCCTCCTCTCCTCCTCCTCCTCCTCCTCCTCCTCCTCCTCCTCCTCCTCCTCCTCCTCATCCTCCTCCTCCTCCTCCTCCTCCTCACCTCTCCTCCTCCTCCTCCTCCTCCTCTCTCCTCCTCTCCTCCTCCTCCTCCTCCTCCTCCTCTCCTCCTCCTCCTCACTCCTCCTCCTCCTCCTCCTCCGCCGCCTCCTCCTCCTCCTCCTCCTCCTCCTCCCCTCCTCCTCCTCCTCCTCCTACTCCTCCTCCTCCTCCTCTCCTCTCCTCCCCTCCTCCTCCTCCTCCTCCTCCTCCGCCTCCTCCTCCTCCTCCTCCTCCTCCTCCTCCTCCTCCTCCTCCTCTCCTCCTCCTCCTCTCCGCCTCCTCCTCCTCCCCTCCTCCTACTCCTCCTCCTCCTCCTCCTCCTCCTCCTCCTCCTCCCCCCTCCTCCTCCTCCTCCCCCCTCCTCCTCTCCTCCTCCTCCTCCTCCTCTCCTCCCTTCTCCTTCCTTCTCCTTCTCCTTCTCCTCCTCCTCCTCCTCCTCTCTCTCCTTCTTCTTCTCCTCTTCTTCTTCTTCTTCTTCTTCTCCCCCCCCCTCCTTCTCTTCCCCTTCTCTCTTCCTTTCTGTTCCTTCCCCCCTTGCGGGGCGCTTTGTGGCGCGCCCCCCCTCCCTGTCTTCCCCTCGTGGTTGTGCCCTCCCCCCTCCGTAAACTGTTTGTGTTAGTTTCGGAATATCAGAACAGGACGCTAAAATTGTAAAATAAACATATTTATATAGCTCAGTAATAAATAAGAGATAAATAGATACTGATGGATAGAAACCTCGGGCTAGAAAATCTTGTTATAATTAGTGTAACCAAATTTATCAATGACAAAAAACTTAAAAGTTTTCATTTATGTAATGGCAGACCGCCACATATACATAAGTATTTTCCAACAAAAAAAATGCGCGCCGCAAATTATTTGACAAGAGGGCCCAAACAAGTATGCAAGTCGAGGATTTGACGAAAAGAGCGCTGCATTTAATCACGAATTGAAGAGGTCGAAAACTGGTCAAGTATATGTTAGTACATTTACGATGCCGTTTAATTGAACTATGCCGGCTGGACTGCATATCTAACATATTTCCATTTTTTATCGGAGCTTTGAGTGGATTGCACTTGATGAGTGGGAGTTCATTATAAACTGCCAATTGTTCGATTTATAGCCTCGTATCAGAAAGTGTCAGATTTTTGACAAATGTGTGAAATGCACCCTGTGCGTTTCCCCATAAGAAAACACATTTCACACATCTTTGAAAAATGTGTAAGTTCGCTTCGTGTTTTTTGCGATGATTAATCGAGATTTCTATCCATGTTGTGAAAAATGGATCGTAAACATAAACAGCTGATATATCAAAGAAGGCAAGCAGCAACTTCAATCCGACCCCATAAAGTATATATATTCTTGATCAGCATCAATAGCCGAGTCGATCTAGCCATGTCCGTCTGTCTGTCCGTCCGTCCGTCCGTCCGTCCGTATATATGAACGCAAGGATCTCAGAACCTATAAGAGCTCGACTTGAAATTTTAGATGTAGGTGCTCCTAGTTCCCGCGAAGATCGAGTTTATTTCCGATAATCGTTTCCACGTTTTCAAGCAATCGATATCGATATATCGAAAATCGATATCGATATCCTGTTTTTTGGGCAATTTTGGTAAATAATAAGAGCTAGAGTCACCGAACTTGACATATAGCTTCTAAAATAGAATATATATATGCATTTGATGTTGGAAGAAGAGAGTTAAGGGTATTCCCTAGTCGGGAGCTCCCGACTAGAAACTCTTACTTGTTTAATTTAAACATGGCGAAGAGTGCCTAAAATGGAGCCCTTACTTCGAGAGCGCAATTTTTGAGTTTTGGAAGAAAAACTCTACGGCGCTTATATAAATTAAAGAAACTTGATCAGCTGTCTATTTTATGAAGTGGTACTTTTGTCACTCACATGTTACCGACAACCGGTGGAACACCAATATGTGAAATTGAAAAATATGACATAAAATGCAATTTTAAATTTTTGTGAAACGCGTGAAATGGTGTACTCGCGCCGAGCCAACAGGCCATGAGGATATAGTGTTTAATGCGACCCAGTTTAGACCAGATGAAGTCTCACAACGCGCATGTGTGCGCATGGCAGACGGCAATTATGTACGACTGATGACTTGTCCCGTGGCAAAATTAGCCGCCGGCACTTAAACCATAAGCTCATTACTGACGAGAATATGCAGGCCGTATAAGAACAAAATGCAGTAAGATTCTGAGGAAAAATAAATAAGCCTTGCAGTGTTCGTTTGGCACGCCACACTTCAATTAAAACTTTTCGAAACAGATGTCCGATTTTAATATAATTTCGGTTTTATACTAGGAGAATCGTGTCATTTCTAACTGTTCATAAACAAAACGAGAAAGTCCCAACCTTTTCAATATTTTTAGTGTTCCGCCGTATCTAAGAAGACTAGAGAACATAGTTAATGCCTAGGTTGTTCAAAATACATATCTTGATAAACATAAAAAGTTTTTTTTAAAGCCCTAGTTTTCGACCGATCGTTCCTATGGCAGCTATGTGATATGGTATTCCGATATGAATAAGATTTTGCAAAAATGAAGGGAGCATAGTGAAAGCTTTAAATGCCGTGGTAATTCAAAATATCTTGAACGACAAAAGGTTCTCTATACAACAACTTCTCGACCGGTCAGCTTTGTGATATAACGGTCCGATCTTAATAGTATTTCATATATATGAGGACCACAGTAAAACTAATAAATGCTGAATTTGGTCAAGATATCTTGGTAAACAAATATATATATATTTCACGCAAAAACTTAATTTTCGACCGATCGTTCCTATGGCAGCTTTATGATATAGTGGTCCGATCCAGCCATGTCCGTCTGTCCGTATGCATGAACGCAAGGATCTCAGAACCTATAAGAGCTAGAGACTTGAAATTTTAGTTGTAGGAGCTCCTAGTACCTGCGCAGATCGATAACTTCTGATAATCGATAACTTACTCCGATTCCAAGCAATCGATAAAAGTCGATATCGATATCCTGTTTATTGAGCAATTTTGGTAAATATTAAGAGCTAGAGTCACCAAACTTGACATATAGTTTCTAATGTTAGAAGAAGAGGGTTCAGGGTATCCCCTAGTCGGGAGCTCCCACTAGAACCTCTTACTTGTTTTTTATAAAAGCCTTTGGATGAAGTGGCCTAAATTTTTCCTTATAAGCCGTACCGAAAAACTATTTCAGCCAGATTTTCTGTCGTACAGATTAGTGCAGCTTCGAACGAATAATACCTTCTTTCAATTAATCTATGCTGTAGTCTGAATTTCTTTGCTTGCACCCAATTCTCATAGCTCTCCGAATACTGACCATGGAGGCAACAGTGTCAACGGAGATACGTTTTAGATGAACATGGTACGTGTCTAGATGAACATGGTCATCCGATTGTCCGGCATTTCGATCTTATCAGAAATCATTGAATTATGACAGGTAAACAGTTTTGAACCCACGATGTCACATCCTTCCTCATAAATGATCATACGTATTTGCGTAGTATTTGATGATTGGTCAACTTGCTGCTGCAATTAGAGACAACGTGAATGGAAGCCAAAAAGCTATAGAGCATGTAGTATAGGCTGTAGTACATAAGACAAATTGTCGAATTTGATGATTTGTAATTTGATACAAGTGCTACCTAGTAATACATATTGAAGATCACTGTCATTGAAAAAGAATTGCTCATTGAAAAAGAATTTAGGAGAGACAATACATCGGACACTTTGATATCAGTACCACCTACATGTTTTATGTTTGTGGAATATTGCGAAATGAAATAAAGGTGACGCGTCAAGCGAGGCGATATTTTATCAGGCTTCTAAGAAAAATCATATGTAAATGGTTTGATATCTTTCAATGACAAGAACACTCGCCTCCGGGATATGTTTGACACATGGTTTGGCCTCGTGGATAGCTTTGCTATTAGGTTTGCGGTGCATATCATATTGGCATTAGGAGCCAGGTGTGCTATAGCAGCTGTAGCAATGGAACACTTGCACGCCTTAAATGCATTTATTATCAGCTCATTACATTCGACTTTGGGCTTGATGTTCTGTTTCATGCCCCGACGAACTTCTATGTCTGGTGCTTGAATTCTAGATGCATGACGAGTAACACCATATCAAGTTGATTGTAGTTCATAATGGCGTTGACTCGATCGTCTGATGACCGTATTTTATTTTCGACAATTGGGTAGCTCAGGAATTCAACTTCGAAGTTGGCTACTGGACATTTATTTATATTATTAACCAAACTATTCTTTTGATGTATGGAAAGCATGGTTTTTACATTTTTTTCCTGCTCGTCTGAGATTGTGGACATAATCAATATGTTGTCGATATAGCAATCGACAAAGTCAATGACTCTAAATATGCTGTCCATCAACCGTTGAGATGTTCTTGAGATTTAACAACTTATGTAGAAATCAACGCAGTACCCTTGCGCTCTCAAAGCTTAAGAGCGAAACTCTAAATATAGAATGTTCTTTCAGCCTCGGCTCTGTACATAGACCAAAACATATTTGTAAGTGTTGTTTGTTGTGTACATGAGGTTGATACGGTAGAAATTCAATATCTTTTAAATTATTATTATTTGGATTGCAGCAGCCAAATTGCAAACTCTTTGATGAGCAACATGTACCTTGATGGAATAGAACATTTACTTCTGCTTTAGCAATCGCTAGTTTATCACCGGAAGGACGTCGTGGTCGATAAACAATGAGCTTGCCATTAGTTTTAATATAACGCTGTGCGTTGTACTTGCCTGCAGTTCTCTGTGGGCACTTTCGTTATGTTGATAGCTGCTTCAATAGTCCACGAAAAGCATTGTCGCTGTTTAGCGTGATACAGGACCACACCATTAGACTTTCGTCATTGTTTCGTTTAATTTTTTAGCCTTAAGCTGATCAGCTATTATATGAGAGATCAGCTTCAACTTTTGTGATCAACGGCAATTATTGGTGATTATTGGTTTAAGTCAGCGTTAATGAAAGGCCACCTTAGTGGACGGTGGAGAGGTGTAAATTGCACATCAGAACATGCGAACGGTCCGAATCGTCGATTAATTTGCAGCGAATAGATAAGCATGAGCATCTAAAAGCAAATCTGACTTTGATTTACGGTCAAAAATGTGGGTTCACTTGTTATGGCATTCAAAGATGTGCACGCCATGCTGCTGTTATACAGCTGCAGCCTACCAACGATAACAGCAGCTTTATCAGGCCGTCATTTACGCGGAGCTGTATAAAACTCTTGGTGGAACCAGCATATATTTTGTTGTTTAGCTTCATGGTGCGTTGAATTTTTGCACTTTTAGGAGAGTGTGAGCGTGCATTGCACTTTTAATGTGAATTTTTAGGACTCTTAATTTTAAGCTGGATTCTGTTAGCATTAGTACGGTGGAATCGATGTCTGCTGAATTTTGCGATCGTGAATCAGACTTCACATTAGCGGATGCTAGAATTTGCAGCTGTGGTAGCAGACAGAAGGAAGCATCTCCGAACCCATTGAGTAAATATATTCTTGGTCAGTATCAATAGCCTAATCGATCTATATATGTTATGTCCATCTGTCTATCTGGTCGTCTGTCCGTCCACCCATCAATCAAAATCAATTCAAATAGCAACATACAACTGCAGATAAAACAATACAATCGCAATTGCAATGCTGTTGATAGAACTCAAAAATTCCTGCACTTCGCGCTAGCCACTGTTGACACGTGGGCTGCCAATATACTTATATATACCACGTTTGACCACGTGCTAATAACTTTTGTTTTTCTTAACCGAGCTTGATGAAATTTTCAACAGTTGTTCTTATTGTACTATAGAATATTTGTATATTATCAATATTCCTTATTGCTTTAATTGGTGGAAAATACCAATTGGTTTATTTACTTGATGTATAGTTATGTTGATATATATATACTATTCTTGAAGCTACATGTCAAGTTTCGGTGATCTAGCTTTTATTACTTTCGTGATTTTCTCAAAAAACTGAGTTTCAATTTATATTTTTGTTGATTACTTGAAAACGGGGCAAGTAATCGATTATCGGAAATAAACTCGTACTTCGCGGGCACTAGGCTATTATAGGCTCTGAAATCCTTGAGATCCTTGGACGGACAGACAGCGGATATATCTAGATCGATGCTGATCTAGATTATATGCACTATATGGGGTAGGAAATGCTTCCTTCTGCCTGTTACATACGTTTGCTCTTACACTTTTTATACCCTGAACCCATTAAAAATGGGTATAAGGGTATATTGTATTTGTGCGAAATCCAAATGTATGTAACAGGCAGAAGGAAGCATCTCCGACCCCATAAAGTATATATATTCTTGATCAGCATCAATAGCCGAGTCAATCTAGCCATGTCCGTCTGTCTGTCCGTCCGTCTGTATGTATGAACGCAAGGATCTCAGAACCTATAAGAGCTAGAGACTTAAAATTATAGATTTAGATGCTCCTAGCTCCCGCGCTGATCGAGTTTGTTTCCGATAATTGATAACTTACTCCGTTTCCAAGCAATCGCTAAAAATCGATATCGATGTCCTGTTTTTTGGGCAATTTTGGTAAATAATAAGAGCTAGAGTCACCAAACTTGACATATAGCTTCTAAAATAGAATATATATATGCATTTGATGTTGGAAGAAGAGGGTTCAGGGTATACCCTAGTCGGGAGCTTCCGACTAGAACCTCTTACTTGTTATATATATATATATATACATATATATAAATATTTATATTTTTATTATTGGGTCCAGGGTATAAAAATACCATTGCGGTAGCCTTGCCGTTTTATACACATGTGGTCTTTCTATTGTCCAGATATATCTGTGCTTATCGGGCTCCTACTCTAAGTGTTTGTAAAAATATTTTACGAAGTTCAGAAAAGAAAAACGACGTGTTAATACTAACAACTGCTGTTGTGGGATATAGGTGCTTTAATATTTGGATCTTGCAACCTCTATTATGTTCCAGTAAAATAATAGTTGTTTAGATTTTTGTTTAACGCGAATTCCGATGCAATGTACTGCATGCCGTCTCCCACCCAATCGACCAGTCGTGTAACGTACGACACGGGTTGAACAAATAATATTAAAACGAGAAAGAATGGCTATCTTCGGCACGCCAAAGATCTAATACCCTTGCAGACCCAACCTTTTCATAATGCTCATAGTGCTTTGCCCCTATCTAAGAAGTACCGGGAAAATAGTAAATGCCGAGTTTGGTTAAAATATCTTGATAAGCAAAATGTTTTTTCATACAACTTAATTTTCGACCGATCGTTCCTATGGCAGCTATATGATATAGTGGTCCGATCTTAATAGGATTTTGCATATATATGAGGAGCTTAGTAAAACTAATAAATGCTGAGTTTGGTCAATATATCTTGAAAAACAAAATGTTGTTTCATACAAAAACTTAATTTTCGACCGATCGTTCCTATGGCTGCTATATGATATAGCGGTCCGAACTTAATGGGATTTTGCATATATATGAGGAGTAAAGTAAAACTAATAAATGCCGAGTTTGGTCAAGATATCTTGATAAACAAAATGTTTTTTCATACAAAAACTTAATTTTTGACCGATCGTTCCTATGGCAGCTATATGATATAGTGGTCCGATCCAGCTGGTTTTCACATATGTGCTGCGTGCAACAGAAAGAGCGAGTTCTGCAAAGTTTGATTAAGATAGCTTTAAAACTGAGGGACTAGTTCGCATAGAAACAGACAGACGGACATGGCTATATCGACTCGGCTGTTGATGCTGATTAAGAATATATATACTTTATGGGGTCGGAGATGTCTCCTTCTATGCGTCGCACATTTCACGACAAAATTATAATACCCTCTGCAAGGGTATAATAAGACTATCTATTTGCTAAATAATTCCGATTCCTTGATACGGACTCGGGCTGGTAAATCAATGACCATTTCCAGAGTTGCTGAGATCCTGTGAACAACACTGTTAAGCGAATGCAACACGAAAATTAGATCAAGAGATCTGTTTCTTGAATTGCGCACTCGGTTAACCTGCCGTAAGAACATTTCATGGTCATCCGTATTTCGAGCGGTAAACACACATCTACTACTAGTCGCCATCTTTTGTCAGTTGAACCTGGTAAAGGTTTCTTAGGTATCAGCAAGAGTGAGCTGTTGTATTCAGATACAGATGGTTCAACGATTTTTTCGCGTATTAATTTATCTACCTGGAATCCTATAATTTGTATACCCTGAACCCATTAAAAATGGGTATAAGGGTATATTGTATTTGTGCAAAATCCAAATGTATGTAACAGGCAGAAGGAAGCATCTCCGACCCCATAAAGTATATATATTCTTGATCAGCATCAATAGCCGAGTCGATCTAGCCATGTCCGTCTGTCTGTCCGTCCGTCCGTCCGTCCGTATGTATGAACGCAACGATCTCAGAACCTACAAGAGCTAGAGACTTGAAATTAGATGTAGGTGCTCCTAGTGCCTGCGCAGATCGAGTTTGTTTCCGATAATCGATAACTTACTCCGTTTCCAAGCAATCGATAACAATCGATATCGATATCCAGGTTTTTTTGGCAATTTTGGTAAATGACAAGAGCTAGAGTCACCAAACTTGACATATAGCTTCTAAATTAGAATATATATATGTATTTGATGTTGGAAGAAGAGGGCTCGAATAGAACCTCTTACCTGTTTATGTATATAGACTCCTCGTCGTTTAAACTCAACTTTTGTTTATAAAGGTTATTTGTGAAAAATTGTTTCTGATTCTAGTTTGAAAATGTCACTATATTCAGTGCAAATAATAGTTCAATAGTTTAAAAATAATTGGGGAAAATTTTTATGTATTTTTTCTAATACATGATCGGTGTAAAATATTGTATTTATTCAGAGGCTCATGGGAAATATTTTCGAGGTCGGTTGTAAGTGTTTGTTGAATGTGTAATACACGCTCCAATAAATATATTATTTTTTATTTCTTGATTGGATATACAAATTTTTTTAACAATTGATTTTATTTTAATTTGTCCAACTACTTCAGGTCGGGCTGGTAGT